TACACACTACATATACACATTGATACCATGCACACTACACATACACATAGATACCATACCTCGAGCTCCTCTTTCTTTCCCTTGTAATGGTAAAGTATAGTATAAGATGGCGCAACACACATACACACCACATATACACATTGATACCATACATACTACATATACACATTGATACCATACACACTACATATACACATAGATACCATACCTCGAGCTCCTCTTTCTTTCCCTTGTAATAGTTAAGCTCCTCCAGGACCTGATTCCGCTGTTTGATCTGGTTCTGTATCCCCTTGACGTACGCAATAAACTCGTTCAGGTAGTTCTCCGCCTCGATCACACGTGTTTCTGTTTGTGAGTCTCTCAGACCCTGTAGCTCCTGGTCCCAATTCTCAATCACTTCACCACCATGCACGGCCAGTTGCTTCGCCCGTGTATCCAGCACAAAAGCGTTATTGGTGGCATCGAACGCCTGCAGAGGAACCAACATAAGTTTACCGACGGATTGAATATGTAGGTATTATGGATGTACACGTACACCTATATGAAACTATATACTCATACAAATCAAAACAAAGAGAAACCAAATCATGGTAGACTAGGCAAATATAACTCGTGTGTAGATAGACCTCGCGAAGCTGAACACAGTGCAATGGCGTGGCTGTGAAGGAAAGTGTGCTATTTCACTACTGAGGCGATGTGTATAAGGTCCACTAAAGCGGATATGGTATGGCGAGCAAGAGCAGATTGCATTCACAATCAAAATACACACACACATATATATATATACATATATACGTACAATATATATATATATATACAAACACACGCATAGACATATATATAATACGCATATATTTATACATCCATACACACACGCACACACACACACACGCATATATATATATCTATACACACACACACACACACGTATATATAATACTATACACACACACACACACACACACACACACATATATATATATGTATATTATATACATACATATATATATATATATATATATATATTTGTACAAGCACACACATATTCATGAATACAAACATACATACATACACACATATATATACGTACATGCAAACATACATGCAATATACGTATATATATACATACATGCAAACACACATGCAGTATACGTATATATATACGTACATGCAGGTATAAATACATACATATATATATATATATAAATACTAATAAATATCAATAAACATACATGCAGACATACATACATACATACATACATACCTACATACAAACATTTTANCTA